AGTGGTTTGAGTCTTACCTCTCAGATAGGTCCTTCAAGGTATCTTGGAGAGGTGAGGTGTCCAAGTCACAACATCTAGTTACTGGGGTGCCTCAGGGCTCAGTACTTGGACCACTTCTCTTCTCTGTCTACATGGCAGCACTAGGTTCTGTCATTCAGAAACATGGCTTTTCATATCACTGCTATGCTGATGACACTCAACTCTACCTCTCATTCCATCCTGATGATCTGACGGTATTCCTGGTGGAATGACCTGCCCAACTCAATCCGAGCAGCTGAGTCCGTAGCCATCTTCAAGAAACGACTAAAAACAGATCTATTCCACCTTTATTTGCCCATTAACTCTAGCACTTTCTATTCTATTTTAATTCTACTTTATCTATATTTATCTTCTTTTTTTATTAAAAGCTTTCTATTTTTCTATTCTATCTACTTGTTTTTCTTTGTGTGTGTGTGTGTGTGTGTGTATATGTGTGTGTGTGTGTATAATATATACATATATATACACCTTGCTATGTGTACTGCGTTAGGCTAACCGAGACTTGTCATTTGCACTTATATATTGTTGCTCTTTTGTTAGTTTTGACTGCTTTTATTGTCCTCATTTGTAAGTCACGTTGGATAAAAGCGTCTGCTAAATGACTAAATATAAATGTAAATTATTGCAATATAAAAGTATATTTAAAAACTTGAATGTTAGGTGGGATTAATCGCGATTAATTTAAGAAAAAAATGTGTTTAATTGATTGAAAATGATTATTTTTTGTTGTTTTTTTAATCGAATGACAGCACTAATATATATATATATATATAATGTGTGTCTGTCTGCTAAAGAGCAGCCATTGAATCACTTTCCTCCTCACAGTATATTCCCACACATTCATGCATGCATTAAAACAGATTGAACACAGGCACACAGTGGGCTCTTGTGTTTGTCTCAGTGTTTTCCTGATTCTTTCTCTGATCGCAGCCACGTGGGTTGGAGGAGGATACATCAACGGCACCGCGGAGTCAGTGTATCTGCCCGGATCTGGCCTGGCTTGGGCTCAGGCACCGTTCGGTTACGCACTCAGTTTAGTAGTCGGTGAGATGATTTTACACGGATGAATTCAGCATAATTCATGGATTTAAAAGAGTGCATTAGCACATTAAAATTGGCACAAAAAACCCTAACCCCATTACATGAAAACAATCACATAATACCAAGTCATGGCTTTTACAGATACTAAAGACTGATGTCTGTAAAAAAAGCCCATTTCACAGAGTGAGAGCTAACCATCGGCATGCATGTATTGTAATCTGTTAGTATGTGGTCAGGTTGACAGTGCGCTCCTTTTGGTCCAGGTGGGTTGTTCTTTGCGAAGCCCATGCGCTCTCGAGGCTACGTGACGATGCTCGACCCGTTCCAGCAGCTCTATGGCAAGAGAATGGGAGGCCTGCTCTTCATACCTGCTTTACTGGGAGAGATCTTCTGGTCAGCCGCCATTTTGTCAGCCTTGGGTATGAAAATGCACCACATATAACACACCTAAAGCTTGATAGCTACGTCAGTGTTGTCTGAATGCAGAATAAAAGCCTCGCTGTCCTCTGCACAGGAGCAACACTGAGCGTGATTGTGGACATCAACATCAGCATGTCAGTGGTGATTTCTGCCTTGATTGCCATCTTCTACACGCTGGTCGGGGGACTGTACTCGGTGGCGTACACAGATGTCGTCCAGCTCTTCTGCATTTTCATAGGTTTGGTGAGTCTTCTATACAAACACAGACATGTCGGCAGGTTAGACATCCCTTGCATGCAAGTGTGGTAATGCTGCTAATTAAACATTAAAACAATGTCATTTAAGCCCACCTGTGTTCCAGAGAAGCCCACTATTCCTGTTTGATTGTATAGTATATGCCACATATTTGACTAAATAAACACTAAATAAAGAACTGCTGATAAAACTGGATAGAACTGAACTGCTGGGCTTTTGATTCCCAGCAGAGACTCTCTTTTCTCCCTCTTTCACTCAGTCTCAGGTTCTTCATGTCAGCCACAGATTTCTTTTGTCAAAGTCTGTCCTTGTTTTTAGGCCACCTAATCCTTCATAATCTTTACAATTATTTTTGTCCCCACATTGAAAACATGGGGTGACGTTTCGGAATGAACAGAGTGTGTTTTGAGTCAATTCAGTTAATGCTGTCTTAAATGAGGTTCAGTGTGTTGCTGGCTTAGTGGGCTTCTTAGGAAAAACAGTTGACAAAAAAAGCCATAAAGAGCAGAACATTTTATACTGGTAAACTAATGGTAAACTGGTTAACTCATTTTTTTACTAATTGTTATGGGTTAAATCAGGTAGAAATGGCTCTTTAAGGTAGCATATGTAGGTTACCACACTGCATAAAGACAGAGCAGTAAATCCTAGTTTGGCTCGAGATAAATCTGAAAAAAAACATTTAATTTACTGTGCTTATCAACATTTGTATTTATTTATTTATTCATTTTCATGTTTGCTGCAACATCACGCTGCAGATTTTCCATCTGTTCAAAAACTAGTGCTTTAAACTACCAGTCAATATTAGGTTGCATTCATTTAAAAATTCTTATTGATATTAATTTTGTCAACTGTCGGTGACTGTCAGAGAGTAGCAAAACATGATCACAAATGACTGAACTTTCAGTCAGCTCCAAATAAAAAGTAAAATGGCAGTAACAAATCTGCATTTACTGTGCAACAAATAATATATCTCATGTTTTCTGTCTCTTTTATATTTAGAAAATAATAAAACAAGTGTCCTTATATGGTTCGTGAGTTTATTAGAGTATGAAAGATGAACAAAAATTCATTTGGTTCATGATTCTATGGCATGCAACTGCTAGCTACTGATATCTAAAGTCAGGCTGAAATATGATCTCAGTTTTGTAACTTTCACTGTTTACTTTTACCTAGCTTATGTTGTTAATGGGCTGACATTGAGATAATAGCAGTTGGATATCACTGAAAATGTCAGAATGTATATATCCGTGTGATTTTTTCTCCCCGTGTCTTAATTTAGTGGATAAGCGTGCCGTTTGCCCTGTCCAATCCCGCTGTGTCAGACATCGGCGTCACCGCAGTAAACACAGTGTTCCAGTCGCCGTGGCTGGGAGAGATCGATCCATCTGATGGCTGGATGTGGGCTGATAACTTCTGTCTTCTTGTGAGTCGGTGCAGAAACACACTCGCCACATAACATGCTGCTCAGTGATATTTTTATTTCAATGCATCGAAACATTAATGCAGAAATGTTTTTCATTTTAATGGCACCACACAGATCTGCATCTTTTAGTAGGATTTGTGCTGCTGTGTGGTCTGGAAATGCAGTGTGTGCACACTGGTGTGTTTCGGCATTCTTTTAACTCAAGTGTTGAAAACAGCAGAAGTGCTGAAGCCACATCTCTCAGGAGGATCTACCCGTACTGTATTCATATGTTAGGTTAGGTGCAGGGTACAGATGATTGTCTGGTTTTGGCCGCGTGTGTGTGTATGTGTCCAGATGCTGGGTGGGATCCCGTGGCAGGTGTACTTCCAGCGGGTCCTCTCCGCCTCCTCGGCCAGCTACGCTCAGGTGCTGTCCTTCCTGGCTGCGTTCGGCTGTCTGGTCATGGCCGTGCCATCCGTCCTGATCGGCGCTATAGGAGCCTCCACAGGTACACCAGCAGAGAGCGCAGATACGGCCGTGTTTCCTGCAGCTCTCTAGCGAGAGGAGATCTGAGACCAGCTGCCAGCGGCGGGGGATCACGCAGGCCCGAGCGGTGTAATGCTGATGACTCCAGGTGGCTGCTGTCATTTATGTTCGAGGAGCCGTGCGTTTAGCTGAATATGGCCGTATCGACAGGGGTTTCATTAAAGCTGTTGAGTCTCAGCTAATCAGCAGATGCTCACTATGCAGCCCAAATGAATAAACACTGATTTACAAAACACATACAGTCAAACCAACAATTATTCAGACAGCAGATATAATTTTTGATATTTTTTACTAGTGGGTGCAGGACACTATAGTTCATTTATGTAAGTGAGGACAGCAAAATAAAGCAAACTGTGATATATTATACCCAAAAATTCTTCATTCAGTGGACTACCAGTAAAATTGATTCAAACGTAAGACCAAAAATTATTCAGACACTCTGAGCATGTTTTGCTCAAGTGTTTTTTCTTTATTTACTAATGCAACCTTTTTACACCACAGACTGAACAAACTGAAGCATTGCTGGGTAATTGGTTGAGCTAAATTGGTTTTATCTAATTGTGTTCTTAAATGTAACAGCTTCACAGCTATTCAACCGAATTCATTCCATACCTTTCTATCAAAGTTATCTGGCATTATCAAGATGAATTTGTTCTGACACAGTGTAACTCTGAGTTCTTGTCATAATTCACAGTTAAATCAGGCACACTATTTGAACTACTTCACACATTACAAATGATACTCAGATGATGAATATGATGTGTGTGTGTTGAGACTGGAATCAGACGTCGTACGGTCCGGTTCCTCCAGTGGAGAAGGACGAGTCGGACATGATCCTGCCCATCGTCCTGCAGCATCTCTGCCCTCCGTTCGTCTCTTTCTTCGGTTTGGGGGCGGTGTCGGCCGCTGTGATGTCGTCCGCAGATTCCTCCATCCTCTCAGCCAGCTCCATGTTCGCACGAAATATTTACCAACTTGCTTTTCGGCAGTCGGTAAGTTCTTTATACTACTGTATTTCTGTGTAAAACCTGTGTAAACGCAATGTAAGCGACTTTAAAAAACACATTAGAAACTGTGTTTTTTAATATTATTGTCCTTCATCACAGGAGACCTGATTCAAAATCATTTTTTCATTGACTTTTGGATCATAGCAGAAAATAAGCTCTGTGACCAACCAAAGTTTATGATTCTTACACATTTTTTTTTCATCATGATAATCTTCACAAATCAACACCACCTTCACAATCATCACAATTTTGAAGTCTAAATACAATCAGCAGAAGTAAAAAGTATAAAAAAACTACATCACGGTCACATGACTTCAGCGTTCACCGCCATTAAGCTTCAACAACTCATTCAGTCTGTATCTCAAAACATTTTCTCTTGCAGTAGTTTGCAGGAGTGTGGTTATAAATGAGGCTGTGAAAGAGACTAGCGTGTAGATGAGTTCACCTGTTCAATGTGATGATTCCTCTGTAGTGCCATGTAGACACTTGTTCGCAACCACCGTTTTCAAGAGTAAAAGAAGTAAAAGCTTTAAAAAATCATAAGAGGGTATTACTTATGTAAAATAAAACGTGAAAATATTTTAAACTTGTGTTCACCACAAACCTTATTTCAGGCGTTTAACAGAAAACCCCATTCAAAAAAACCCTTTGACTTCAGGACAGGAACCAGAAGTGCTAAAATGCAACTCGTTTCCGGGTTTTGGCCTACATAAATCCTTCGTCCCTGCAGCACCGTCATACTGTAGTGTTTATGAAGTCTTTTTTGAAAAGCTTAATCAAACACTTAACAAGAAAGGAGCCAGACCTGGATGTGAGTTTGTCTAAATAGTTTGTTTGTAATCGTGTGGCCCAGATGACATCAATGGAAAAGGACTTTTGTTTTTTGTTTTATATTTTGATGAAACTTAAAACTTTTTTCCTTAAGAATATTGAGCTCTGATGAATCTTTCACAATAATAGCAGGAAACAGGTAAATCGAGTCTATTGTGACTTCATGTTTCATTACGAATGTACATGAAGCCCTTGCTTTAAAGGGTTAGTTCACCCCAAAATGAAAATTCTGTCATTAATTACTCACCCTCATGTTGTTCCAAATCCGGAAGACCTGAGTACCCTAGAACGTAATCAGCATTGTTCATGTTCAGCATGCGCGCACTTTCTACTGAACATAAACAAGGCTGATTACGTTGATTACGTTCTGGGGTTCTCTCCAAAATGGCAGAAGATGGTAACTCGGGTAGAATATTGCTGAGTAAATAATGTTATTATTGTTTTCTTTGCGCACAAAAAGTGTTTTCGTAGTTTCGTAAAATTACGGTTGAACCCCTGATGTCACATGGACTATTTTATCGATGTCCTTGCTATGTTTCTGGATCTTGATCGTGTTAGGATCCTTGCTGTCTATGGAGGGTCAGAGAGCTCTCGGATTCCATCAAAAATATCTTAATTTGTGTTCTGAGGATGAACGAAGGTCTTACGGGTTTGGAACGACATGAGGATGAGTAATTAATGACAGAATTTTAATTTTTGGGTGAACTAACCCTTTAACGTGTGGCTCCGCAGGCGTCGGACCGCGAGATCGTGTGGGTGATGAGGATCACCATCTTTGTGTTTGGAGCGTTAGCGACCGCCATGGCCCTCCTGACGGGGTCGGTTTACGGCCTGTGGTACCTGAGCTCAGACCTGGTGTACGTCATCATCTTCCCTCAGCTCCTCTGCGTGCTGTTCATCAAGGGCACCAACACCTACGGCTCGGTGGCTGGCTACATCTTCGGGCTGCTGCTGCGGGTCGGTGGGGGCGAGCCGTACCTCAGGCTTCCCCCGTTCATCTACTACCCCGGCTGGCAGATGCGCCAGAAGGAGCAGCGTCTCACGCGGGAGGTGGAGCGCTTCGTGGAGCAGAGGTTCCCCTATAAGACGGTCTCCATGCTGGCTTCACTTCTGAGCAATGCTGCCTTCTCATATGCGGCCAAGTATCTATTTGAGAGCGGCAAGCTCTCGCCCAAGTATGACTTCCTGGACGCAGTGGTTTCCAGACACAGCAAAGAAACGATGGACAAGACCACGCTCGTCACCCACGACAATATCATCCTGTCAGAGCTGGCTGCTGTTAAGCCGCGGCACGGAGGCTCTGTGGCAGGAACGTTCGTGAACGACGAGGGCGAGGTGAGCCCTGACTCCAGCACTGAGCACCAGTAGAGACAGGAATGATCATGCACTAAAGATGAAATCCACAAGCTGGATGACAGCAGGCCAAAGAGGGAAAACTGTGCAATACTAATGGAGCGGAAACAAGTAGTACAGTTACTGTTGACTTGACGTGACGTGATTGATGGTATGTATGAAACAAGCTTGTGTTTATTCCTTTTTTCTGCTTAGAATATAACTGTTACAGAGCAATACATTTTTAAAAGCATCGGTTACTGTCTGTAATTCCACAGTCCCTATGCTCTTTTAAGGAAGTGGTTCACCCAAAAACGAACATGCTGTCTTTATTTACACACCCTCAAGCCTGGTATTTGAAAACAAACAGACTGTTAAGCGCCAAAGATGATAGAAAAGTACTCCTCGTGGCACATGCACTATATTCCTAGTTGGTTCTTCTTAATATTAGCATTAGCATTACATTTGATCCAGTGTGCTTTTTGTTTACATGCATGTTGTTCTGCAGAACTCTTGCCAGATTGGCATTTGCTGCTATTGAGTTTGGGGTACAGATGGACTTGGCTGTATATTTAGGGTCCGGTCAGCTGTGTAATTCATTACATGCTTTTTCAAATTTAAAGGATCAGTTCACTTCCAGAATAAACATTTCCTGGTAATTTACTCCCCCTATGTCATCCACGATGTTCATGTCTTTCTTTCTTCAGTCGCAAAGAAATTAAGGTTTTTGAGGAAAACATTCCAGGGTTTTTCTCCATATGTTGGACTTTAATGGGAGAGAACGGGCTGAAGGTCCAAATTGCAGTTTCGGTGCAGCTTCAAAGGGCTCTACACGATCCCAGATAAGAGTCTTATCTAGCGAAACGATCTGTAATGTTCTTAAAAAAATAACAATTTATATACTTTTTCACAACAAATGCTTGTCTTGCACCAGCCCAACCTCACTCATTACGTAATCACGTTGGAAAGGTCCTGACGTACGCGGAAGCACCGACCCAGTGTTTACAAAGCGAATGTACAAAGAAAGTCAAACACACTTTACAAAAAAGGTAAAAACAATGATGTTGGACGATTTTGAAGTTGGAGGAGAAAATCAGATGGAGTTTTTTGCCCCACCATTCCTTTCTGAAACGAAGGACACAGACAAAGAACTAACCAAGCGTGACATTTCCAACGTGATTAACGTATATTAAAAAGTATATAGAAAATGACCAATCATTCTACTAGATAAGACCCTCACTTCTCGGCTGGGATCATGTAGAACCCTTGAAGCTGCAATTTGGACCTTCAACCCATTGATCCCCATTGAAGTCCACTATATGGAGAAAAATCCTGGAATATTTTCCTCAAAAACCTTAATTTCTATTCGACTGAAGAAAGACATAAACATCTAAATTATCAGGACATTTTTATTCTGGAAGTGAACTAATCCTTTAAGTACAATGAAACCATGTATTTACACAACAAGTGTATTGTGTGTTTTATGTTTTTATGCAAGTTGATGTAGACACCTGATATAAAGTGGGTTCTCCATGTCTTCTGAAGCCACATGATAGCTTTGTTTGGGGAATTTAAGTCACTATTCACTCTCTAATGTCATTCATATTCAAGCTTGCTACAGAAATTGCAAGATCCTGCTACTTCTTCTGTGATTTTTTTTTTTACTTTCTGGAGTTTAACAATGTCTGTCCCTGTTCACTTTCATTGCATAAAAAGAGCAGTGGGAAAATGTTAACATTCTGTTTCATGTAAGAAATAAAGTCGAAGCAGTTTGGACTTACTTGAGGGTGAGTAAATACTGACAGGATTGTCAAATATTCCTAGCCCTACCAATATGTTGCTATTTTTAGATTGACATTCTGGTTGGACTGAACAAATAAACAAGCACATTTTGACTGAAGATCAGACCTGATCAGGCAGACTTAAGTAGATGATAGATGAAAATCAACAGAATATTCTAACAGAAACTCTGTAAAGAATGTATAGAATTATAAAGAGTTACATGATTTTAATGCAAAGGTGGAGACAAAAAATCTGGATGGCTCTGTGGAGTATATTAAAATCGTGTAATGCACACCTAGCCATGGATTATACCACTTATATTTATATATTTTGGCCACTTGCCGGCACTGACAACTCAAAGCTGTCATTGATGCTTGCAGTGCAAAGTTTGACCAGACAGGTAAAAATGATGGTTACTTTTCATGGCAGAGGTTTGTTAGAGATCCAGGTTGTTGGAATTAATTATTATCATCACATTTGAATCACCGGCATCTGTATACATCGCTGTAGTGAAGCTGTGAGAATTACTTCAAAAACAGCAACGTTGCCACCTTATTGCTAAGAAATGTCATATGTAAAATCTTCATAAAAATCTTTTTAGTAGCAAAGCTCCTCCTTCATTGACACAATCACGTTTGATGTGTTGACGGTATGCTAATGAAGGAGTTGATTTATGTGCAGTAATCTGCCTCATGTTCTAGATGGGAGCAGCTGATTGGTGCTCTGCCTGTAATCCATCAGCCAATGAGCTTGATTTAAATAGTCTTGCTGCAGTTGCTTCACTGCGGCCCGCCGTCAGGATTTTGTCTCTGATGTGCTGAGAATATTAGCGACTGATTCATTGGCCATGCTTTATTTCACTTGGACCTACACTGAACTAGGTAAACTCTAGCCAAACCAGCTCAGATATTCACAGTTTGAATAAACCTGCCTGTACCCCAGCCCAGAAACACATAACTAGTTTTTATATAATTATATATAATTAATCTAGTGTTCGCTCAGTAATCTCAGTGTGCCGCAAACGCGCCCACCTTAACGATTTCTATATACTGCTTATCCTGCACAAATTGACCATAAACATTATAAACGTCCACAGTAACAATTAATTTACAGACACATCCCCTAAAAACCAATCACACCGGCTCATTTTAGCTCGTAACACAGGCTATCAGTCAGTGATGCCTATTGGTGTTTGGGAATATTAATACGGCCGCTGGGACGCTTGCAGTGGAATCCATCAGCAGTCCGGTCATATAGAGATCAGTGCTCAGAGCAGATATTTCAGACATTTGGCTGTGCCAGCTACACACCGACAGTCAGTTCACTGGCGATGCACCATTCAGCCGGGCTGAGCAGCACATCAATCAAAAATCACGTCAGCACACAAACCTGTTTTAATGGTTTACAGATGAATCGATCAATGGCGGAAGGATTCGTGTTTACACAAGATTTGAAACGATCAGTGTTTGTCCAGTATGTCATCAAAACAGGAACTTTTGAATGTTAGTACGACAAGAGGTACTGCTTGGTGGCCATGGTTGTAAATTCTTACTTATTTTTTTGTCACATTTTCCTGTTGCACTGCAAGTGTTTGACATGAGCCGACACAACACCAGAGGTGTTTACATGCCGTGCAAAGATTATGTGCTTAAGCCATGTATGACCCGATTAAAGCCATTTACATATACTTGCTTACATCATTCATAGCTGATGTGGCTAAAGCCTATTGGCTATTTAATAAACCGGACTAGCCCTTCAGTACAGTACTGTATATACCTCTCAAACATACATAAAATGTGAAACAAACAGTATAATGACTTGTAAAGACACTTTCCGTAATGCCTAATCAGTGTTTTCGTCTGCCATAGTAATGTCTTTGAATCTTGTGAAAAATGTAGGGGCTTTTCTCATCAAATATTGATATGGCATAGTCAATATAATTGATTCCATTGAAACCAATGATGACTCTGGAAATTAGTAATAGAATCGTATTGTCCATTGAATGGTGTTGTGGGATGTTTTAAAGTGTGTTGAAGTTGCCTTGATTTTCTTAGTTTGACAGCCTAACCTGATGTCATGTCATGCCTCTGTGTCTGCAGATCTGTTGACTTGAATGTGAGTGTATATATTCATAATGTCATATAATGCGCAGCCCAGGTAAAAATGAGTAAAACAGACTGTGGAAAAGTGTTTTCAATTAAAAAGAGTTTTTCATTCAAAATAATCCAACAAATATAACCCTCAAAGTGAAATCACTGAAAGAAACATATTCTTTAAATCAGTGGTTCCCAAACCTGTCCTGGAGGCCCCCCTGCCCTGCACCTTTTGTATGTCTCCCTTATCTAACACACCTGATTCCACTCATTAGCTCGTTAGTAGAGACTGCAAGAACTAAATTGGGTGTGTCTGATTAGGGAGACATACAAAATGTGCAGGGCAGGGGGTCCTCTAGGACAGGTTTGGGAACCACTGCTTTAAATCATTATATATATTTTTACGTTGCATTTTTTGTTTTATAATTATATTCTAGAATTATATAATAATTATATAATTATTTCAATTAAATGTTAGATTATTGAAAATATTCTGAATGAAAGACTTAAGAATCACATTTACAGCACATTTTGCTCAGTTTTATAAAGGGTGCCAATATTAGTGTGTGTGTGTGTGTGTGTGTGTGTGTGTGTGTGTGTGTAGGAGAGAGAAAAATATTTCCTGTA